GCTTCCCCTGCCCCCGGGTCCAGCCCCGGCCAAGTTGCTCCTCCGATGGGTGTCGGGGCCTATCCCGGCTGTCCGCGAACCCAGGACTGACTGCCCGCTGGCTGTGGGGGCTGTCTCGAGAGTCCTGAGGACAGGGGCGGGCCACCAGCCAGCCTTGGTCGCGCACCTGTGGGCCTTTTTAAAATGGTCCGCCGTGCCGGACACCTCCTCGGGCTCCCCCCGCGGCGTGGCGGCTCCCCCTGCAGCCGCCCAGCTGTCAATTTCCGCCACGGCCCCTCCCAGCGCCGTCCCAGGGGTTTGGCCCGCGCCTCCGCCCTCCATCCAGCGGTCCGGGCCGTTCCGCGTGCGGGCCGCTGACGGCCCGTCACACCCTATTTAAAAAGTTATCAATAGCTATTATATTTTTCTCTTGTCATAAACTTTATCTGAGATTATTTTCTATTCAGCAAGTCTGTGCTCAGGGCAGTTCTCATCTCTCTCTCTGCTTGATTTCAGGCTGGGAGAAAGCCAGACAACATGCAGGTAACTGCTGTAAACTCTGCTGAATGTGATCTTTCAAAACTTCAGCTCACCTGTAAGCTTTCTGCTCCTTTGCTTTGGGACAGTGTTGAATAATGAGACCATTTCCCTGGGCAGGGAGCGGCTCAAGTTGGGAAGACAGGAAGCCACCATTAGCCCTCTTGTACTGCCAGTGTTGGTGGTAGCTGGGGACTTCTGGGCACTTTCAAATCTGGGGGCAGAAGGGAGGGCCAGGATATGTACCTAGGAAGGTGTTGGAGGGGGGCAGCAGGCAGAACTAGGGTCGAAATCTTGCCCCACATATTTGGTGGAGTCTGGGCACTGTAGGTCCATAATTCATTGCTCCTGTCTGGAGCTGATGTTTTAATAACCTGATTATGAAGCTCCCCGACCCATGGTCACTTTGGCCTGGTCTACACGAGGAGTTTAGGTTGAAGGAGTGGAGAGAAGAATCCGTTCTCACGGAGCTCTGAACCAGCAAATGAAATACAGGTATCTATGTGACGATCACAAAGGGCGTGGTGGAGAGAGGACATGCCAGGGATGCCCAGCAGTGTCCTGTGAAAATAAAGGAGAGGGGGAGTCTTAGGAAAAGACAAATGAGGCAAACAGAGGGTCTGCTTTATTTTTCAGGCAGAACGGCTCTTGTGCAAGAGGGGGGCTTGCGCCAGAAGGAGCTGTGGAGACGACTCCTTTTTGCGCAAAAGCCTCTTCTGCAAAAAGTGGCTGAAAATTAATTATACAAATGAGGTGTGGCAATATTCCACACTTTGCCTCATTTGCATATTTATTGCACAAGCCATAGCCAAAGGGTCTGTCTGCTCGGCCCAGGGCAGCGAATCTCCGAGCTGGGGGCGGGAGCACACAGCAGGGAGCGGCCTTGTCAGTGCAGGCCCTGATACCTAGGGGGGCTCAGCAGAGAAGGTCGTGTGAGATCGGCAGTGACAGAGCCCCAAGCTCTGCAGGATTCTTTAGTGCTGGGGCTGCCCCTCCCCTGGCTCTGGGAGGTGCTGCCTGTCTGTGTAGCCAAACCTGCCATGTCTGCAGAGCCCGGTGTGAGACCCCCAGCGTGTCTGCCCCAGGGCTGGGTGGAGGGAGCCAGGGGGAGGCTGGGGCAGTCACTAGCTGGGGACACCTGCGCCCCTGGGGCTCTGGGAGGGGCTCTGTGGCCAGTGCCCACTCTGGGAGATGCCGGGGCAGCGGCAGAGCATTGGGATCCATTGTAATTAGGTGTAACTTAGATCAGCCTTCCGAGCTGGAGCCCTGGAAAGGTGGGTAGAGATAGAAAAAAGTGAGAAAAATAGATACATGCCCAAAATATTACCAGTGAAAAAGCATTGTTCAGCTGTAATCATGGGTACCAGGTATAAGAGACCAGGGAAGGCTTCTCCAAATAGGATGTATGGGACCATTCTCTGGAGATGTCAGCCTGCCACCTTTGAAGCACTAAGACCAATAAAGCATCCAAGCTATACTCCTGCCTATGTTCCACCACAAGGCCCACCTCCTGTTCGTTTTCTCCCATGGCCCTGCCCTGCTGAATTCTGAGTTTGCTGGCGAGTGTCCATGGACAGAACCAGGTGCCGTCGCTTCCCCCACAGCCTTTAGCCCAGGGGCGGGGACCCAGCTGGG